TAACAGTGTTGGGCATTTCATTGTGGTGATGTTAGAATATTTGCAACAGCAACTTTTGTACAAGAACAAGAAACTTAAAAGCGACGGCCTGGCCAAACTCTGTGAATGCATCTGTTTTCTACTCCAGACATCAGCAGCAGCGGCATCATGTTATTTTTCTGGTCATTTCAATGAACATTATTATGTATTTGAGTACTTATGAGCCACTTTGAACCCATTTTACACTGGTTATAAAGAGTACATTGTCAGATAGCAGAAAAACCTTTGCTTAATAGATAAAGCAGCATCTTTGAAACAAGGCAAAACAAAAAGTTTACACAAGGAGTTTAAAAGTTAAAAAGTTTTTTTTATATATCATGAAGTGTCAACTTGAAGATATTGTGTAGGATTTTCACTAAACATTCAAACAGTGTGATCTGTATTATGTATCTTTGTTTATGTTGATTTTCTCTGATTGCTTTATTTACTGATCTACTGGAAAGTTTGAAGTCTCCGTTGTACCCCAATTTTTAAAAATTCAACACTTAAGATTTTGTTCAATCATGTGACATTAGCTTAATCATGTCTCATTTCAGGGCTGGGCCCAATGCACTTTCAATTCAGCCAATTCACAAATAGGATATTTTTCAAGATTCAAACCGATTTTGGGTACGAGAGAATTTGTTGACTCTCAGAACAGACTGAGAATTAACAGTTTCCATGTATGGTTTAAATGGAATTGGAAGTGAACTGACCCCAGACTTCATTTGTTTTGTGCACTGGCGGCCAACACTTTTCTCTTTATTTTCACTCTTGTTTTGTAGCTGATGTTTATTCATAAGCCAAAGACTTTGTGTAAATATGTCTATATGGATAAAGCACATTGTTTGTATTTATTGTTTACTTGCATTGCTTGTAAGAACAATCATTCTTCATTCCATGTTTATTCTACCACCAGCATTTGTTAAACCGTGGCTCGGGATGCAGAACGGGCCGTAGGTCTGTTTCCTCTGGGGTCTGGAGAGTATTAGTTTGATTTATCAAGCCTATTATAGGTCCCGAGGTAAGAGACCACATCTGCTCATTTTGAATCCATGAAGAAAAGTTTAAGAACCCCCGATTGAAGCTGTATATTAAAGCATTAGAAGTAGTTTTTCAGTATTTAGGTGGAATTCAGTAGTTTTGTCTTGTTTTCACTTAACTGAATCTCTGTGATGTTACCGTGGTTTATTTGTGTAAAAGGCCATTTCTCTGTTTGTGCTCTATAGAACCTCAGTGCATTTCTGTTCACAGAGTATTTTGGATAATAGCTCCTATCCCTCTGAACGTCTTATTCGGGATAAGCTCTTTATCTTCATCCTCATATCCTGCTCACCACCATACCCGAGTACACACTGACTGAGTGACGCAAACAGGCTTAGTGAACGAAGCATGCAGGACTGTGGGACAAAACCATTTATTGTGCCTAATCATTTGAATTTCCTCATTGATACAGGTATTTTAATAACATCCCAAATGGCGACCAAGCCTTTGTTGAACACCTCTCATGGATGGTCAGTGTTTTGAACGCCATTCAGACCAGTATGTTCTATTCATCAGAATGCATCATGGATTCTTTGTGAAGCTTCACAAGCTTACCGATTCAGAAACAACAAACCTTACTGTAAATAATATGTCAGATGTTCAACATGGTTGGAATAAACCAATCTCTACTCTTAAGGATGTTATTGTAAATAGACTATTGTGGGTACTGTGAAAGGCTGAACACTAGAGATGTAGATGGATGCAACATCAGAGCATTCATTAGTTGTAGATAAAAAAAAAGTCAGAGATTGTATTTCTGGAGAATTCAACTTCAAATATTGACAGATGTTGTTTAAAACCCATTATAGTTTCCACTAAATACAGAACTGTAATTTTGTTGGTGGAAAATCAGTTTTTTGTTGTTTTTTTTTTTTTTTTCTCCAGATTTCTGGTCTGACGCAAAGAAAGGAGAGTAAAGTCAGAGGTGGTAGCACTGTAACACTGTGCTCATACGTTGTCTTCAGCGATGACGAGGTTTACCAGCTGGGCAATACTGATGACCATCTGTGTGCACAGAGAGAAAATGAAGCAGTCAGTGATGAGTTGTTGTATTAACAGAAATGAAACACTACACACTTAAGGGGAAAAACTAAGGAGCAAATCCTGAGAAGATGCCCCGAATCTTTAATAAATCTGAGCAGAAGTGATGAAAGGCCAGTCTGGATATAGAATTGGTATTCATGGTTCATAATTATGCTTGTCTGTAATGTTTTGCTTCTTTGCTGTAATAAAGACAACTTCTTTAATTAAAACTGGGAGTATTCTGTTGTTAGCTTACAACAGGGATATTAAAAGAAAAATGCACGGGGTGGGAACGGATGGATAGTTGATCTAACTTTGGTAGCTTCTGACCCAACAACCTGCTGATATTCACCAGATTACGCCTGATGGCCCCGCACACCCGTAGTAGTTCATGCACTCAGTAGATCTGACTTATTCTACCTGACTAGACCTCTTCTCAGGACTTAAAAAGGGTGTGTGCAGACTGGTTGTTTGACAGCTCGCTCACTCTCCTTATTACGGCAGTACAAATTACGCTCACCCCCCTGCATACCACCTCCAAGCTTACAAAGCAAGAAATACATAAAGAAACAACACATCTACCAGTCCCATTCAGTAAGTTAGAAATAAAGAGAATTGTTTGGATCAGAGCAGTGGAAACATGGAGACAAGGGGGATCCTTTATAGTGCTAGTTAATTCAATTTACAGGAATATAGGTAAGTCAAGAAGAGAGGAGGTCATCTGCAACAGAATGAAATTGGGACATTCTAACTAACACCAAACTGGATATGTGAACACTGTCAGGTGGAGGAGTCAGTAACAGCTGTTATTATGGAGTGATATGAACAAAAGGGCTGGGATTCAGGAATTTAATTTAAATACAAATTTGGAAATATGAAGTGTTCTGAGCTGAATTTTATTTCATTCTTTAGGACCGACGAGTCTAAAGAGAAGAATGTGAACTCTGATCCACACTCCAAGGCATAAGGAGGCAGTAATGCTCTTAATACGCTGGTTGCCAACTGCCATTAAAATCCAAGAAGAAGAAGAAGGAAGCAGAGCACCTCTTGTTTCCAACCTGAGCAGTGCTAACCAACCAGAGTAAGTGAAAAAACCTGAGTGACAGTGCAGCGCCGGTGTTTCCTGTGTATATTGTGATGTGTCATATTTTAAGAGAGCTCTTCTCCTGCAGTTAGTGGTTTTGACAGTTTACCTGAATCTAAGCTCCATCTGTTTAGCAGTTATCCTCTACATTTTCTAATAAAAAGTTTGCCTCTATAGCAAGAAAGCACAGGTGCAACAAATGACCCTAACAGTGCCAGGGTCCTGAAACAGCTATGCACATGATTAATGTTATTAGTAACACTTGTGCTCATATGAAAATATCCACCATGAAAGCTAAAAGGTGGACAAGAGTGTTGCATCGGTACATTTGGGGACACCTGGTCCCAGTGATTCTTAAGCACCTGAAAAGTTTTGTGCCTAAAACTACAAATGCAATGAGTGGATTATTTCAAGAAGGAAACCCACCTGTCAGCCCAAGGCATGGACCTAACTGTGAGACGACCTGTCAGAGCTCTGGATTTTACACAGAAACTGCAGGAATGAACTCCTATTTTTAGGTAAGACATCTCACTCTGTTACTGCCTATTCAGTGATTATTGTTAAAGCTCTGTTTGACATGTGCTTAACATTTCAGTTTAAGGATATGTCAACTGATAGAGGTGCATTATTTTACTTAATTTCTCTTTGTATGATCCTGTGTGGATGATCAATAACACTGGTTGAATCCTGACACGGCCACATCTGGGGCTCAGCGTTTTTTAGTTTTTATGGTGACTTGTGCAATATGTGCTTTTAAACAGCAAAGGCTCATGATGAGTAATGTCGTTTCCATGAAACCACTCTACCTCTTAGTAGACAGTTTGATTGACACCCACTGATTAACTACAATACAACAGGTCACTTGAGCTGCAAATATATTGACAGTGTTCTTTTTAAATGTCGTAGCAAACCATGACTGAGTGTTAGTGAGCCAGCCTGATTCATTCTATTACATTTATATATTGTGACCTGTCAAAATATCCTCTTTGAAGCAGGCCTGCAGTAACACCAGTCATGTGTTTTACTTTGTTATAAATTAACTGGACAATTTATTTAAATCATCACAATTGTAGCTGAGAACCACTAAGGCACTTCACTTGGAATGCCCCAAGCAAGTGTCTTCTCATATGTTATTACATAGACCCAACAGGTTAATAATACTTTGTTTGGGTTTAAGTCATCCTCCATAAATAGGCTTAATCCTGCCATTGAGCTAAAACCACCCTCTCTAATTTCCTGGTAATAAAAAAAAATAAAAGCACCCCCTCACATGTATCCTGTTTTCTTTAAAAAGTTTAATTTGCATAATTATTTACAACAGATGGTAGGTAGCAGTACTTAGAAGAGGCAAAATATACTGAATCACGTTGATAAAGCAGGGAAAATAATAATAAAATGATATAAATTGTCGAAACCATTTCAAAACTTTGCATTTAAAAAAGAAATTATACAATTCATTTCTAGATAAACAAATATGGAAATGAAATATTCAGCATTAAATAAATTTTACAACACAAACTGGTTTGTAGAAAGCTGTAATACTGAACTGCAATGAAACACGAAATAATACATTCATTTTCACGATCCTGCATGCTATTTGAAGATCTTATAAAATAATGTTGACAAAGGAACATTAAACAACAAAAACGTGGTCAAGAGCGGAAAATAGTTCCATTTAAATTAGGTATATATTTAT